TACAACAAAAGGCAGGGATTAGTAAACTGCTTTCTAACCTTGGAGTTGTGTAACAATAGAATGCATCTGTCTTGCGGGAGTAGTGGAGTCCCCAAAATTGAGAGTGTCAGAGGCCGGGTGACCTCCAGGACTGCTGTCATCTTATGATTCAAAGTTTCCATCTTATTTCTTTTTTTCTCCTGCGAATAGGTCGACCAATCAATGCTTCAGACAGACAAGCAAATATGCATCCCGCCAGAGCTGCCGGAATTGCTGAAGCAGTTTACCAAAGCCGCCATCCGGACGCAGCCGCAGGACCTGATCCAGTGGGCGGCGGAGTACGTGCTCCTGTCTCACCTGCGACCCCCTCGGAGGGCGGGGCTGGGGAGGGCGGTCAGGGAAAAGTGAGGAAGTTGTCATGGCTGCAACCAGGGAGTCGGGCCTGATTAGCATGATCTTTGTGATTTTCAGCTCTCGCATTGCTTCGGTGCTTTAAAATCCACACATAAATACTACATCAAATTGGGCGAGGATGGGATGCCCTCCCCAAGCGAGTGAGACCGAGCAGTAGGACGCCAGGGCAATAGGCCCACTGTCCTGAGACAAGCAGCAAGAGTTAGATTACCACATCACACCAGCACACGCACACGCACCCCACCCCTGCACCCCTTCCCCCTGTCCCGGTGGAGAGAAGGGCTGAGAATCTCCGGTGAATTTAGCCAACGTTTCCTAGTTCTCCTGTCTCACCACTAGATGGCAGCAGTGTACATGGGGAGCCGAGGCAAGCCTTCGGGGGGACTGGGTGGGGGCGGTCCAGCTGGTGTCACCCCTTTAATCAGACACCTCCCTCCACTGCTGCTAAAACTCATACTTGCACCCAATCAAAGACACTTAACATCTTGGCTTTGGGGAAGTTATTTTCTTTAGTGTTTCTTTGAACTGAGCTGTTGCCGCAACATAAAGATGTACACAAAGAAAAGATCACATCCTGGAGAAAGGAGGCTGAGCAGAGTGAGGAGGTCAGGCCTGGCTGAGAACGGTGTGCCTCAAACACAGGTGCCGCCTGGGGGAGAGACCTCCAGAGCATGCTCAATCGATGGAGCTTACACAACAATAGCTGCTGGCCTGCACTGCAGCAGCTTTACACAGGAAGCCTCTCAGCTATGAAATTGCTTCTTAGACAAACTCGCCTGCTTGAAACTGGGGGACGAGGGATTGAGGCAGGACTTGGGAGCTAACTAGACCTCCCTGACAATTTTCAGGCCATTTTCCCTGTTTGACGGTTGCCTCCTCAGTAGTGTTGCAGTGGGAAAGGGGGAGTAAGAGAGGCCGTTGAAAGGGAACCCGTGGGCTAGGGGAAGGGAGATGTCCTCAGCCTGAGGTTGTGAGTGGGTGTATTGAGCAGATGGTGGGGGGAAAGTGTGGACACCTTTGCCAAGGCACAACACGTCATCTGAGACACGCCTTACAGAGAGGCCTTACAGAGTCTCTGAGCCGGTGCTCTTGTGCTTTGGGGCCGAGTTAGGATGAAGCTTTCACAAAAGAAAGGAAAATAAGCCAGTGCTCGTAAAAAGAGACAAATGGTATTTCTCTGCCTAGTAATGAGCCCTGTTTGGTTTTCCATTCTAAATTTTATATATTACCTCTAAAGTTGAACTTTAGCATCAGAAGACTAATTTCCTTTGGGAGTCAGACTGACTTTGTTTTATACTATACAATAGTTTAAAACCCATTTTATTGTTCCTGTACTGCTGTTTCATTATAAGAAAAATGGCATTTCTTGGTATTGTCCCTGACATTTATGGAAGAAAACATCCCACAATCATAGCCTTCTTGCTCCCATATTGTATCATGTGCTATAAGTTTTTTAGATACCCATAAAAAATCAGTTTGTAGTTTAACTACAATGAAAAAGGAGAGCTTGACCTAAGAGTACTCTCGATCCTATTCAGACATGAAAAGCACTTATCACATGGTTTTATGTGACTTACAAACCTGTAGCATTTTAGAGAATAAAACTCCAAAAGGATTTCTAAGATAAAATATGTATGTAATTCATTGCAAGCAAGAATTTCCCTACATATATGCTGTCAATGAAGAAAGGCATTGGCAAGACATATACTTATTTGTCCTCTGGTAGGCATATGTGACAACACAAATTTGCAATATATGTGTGTCACCATGGAATTGTTCACTTGCAAATGAATCTCGATAATTCAGAGCACTAAGTCTATGACTACAGCCTTGTTTCCATGTTCTCTAACCAAATCCACTAAAAAGTCCAAAGATATTGCTGCTGAGTGTCACTCTCTACCTGAGTGGTCACTTCTATGAAATGAGTTGCTGTATATCTCTGTCCCTCCCATTTATATCTCCCAAGTCTGGTTATAAAGCCTGAGGCCACACCCTGCTCCTGTTTTCACACTGCAACCACACCCACTCCAAAACTGATCTGTGTGCAGAGATTTCTCATGCATATTGTTAATGGTGGCCTTAAAGTATTTCTTCTGCCCTTTCTGGGGTGACTGGCATGTATTGCTTTAGTCTATGTAGCTTCAACTCTGCATTGCTATGGGGCTTAGAGATGGACAGTGTTTAGCCCCATCATTGTATGGTTTCACCCTAAAATGGGCTTTTACAAGATTCCTTCTACATTCTTTTTATACTCCCTGGATCTAGATGAAGTAATGGAGGGGAAAAAGCAGGAAGGGACAGACCTTTGTGAGTCAGGGGTAGTCAATCACTAGGCTTTTGATGGACAAGACAGACCCTGCCATACAGCATCATGACCCACATGTCAGCTGCTCATGTCCTTTCCCTGCCAATCCTGAAATAGGACTCAGTACTTTTTCCACATTGTCCCAAAATGAACTCCACTCCACAAAGCATTAGAGAGCAGGCAGATTTTACTGAAAATTTTGAGGGAAGATAGAGAAGAGTTTTACTTCATACGTACCACATAATATGAGGTAGTCTCAAACCCTTCTTTAGCTTGTCTATCTCCTGACCTCTCTGAGTGCCCTGCCAGCCTTCTCTCCCTTGCCTCCTGAAGCCAGAGCCTCACTACCTCCACCCAGAAACTCTTCCTGACTTGCCCCTACAGCACCTTGATCCCTTCCCCTTTCTTATGCAAATCATTTTAGTTCTCTTCCAACTTCTCTTACCAAGATTGCATATACATATGCATATATATGAAAATGTCCTATATAGATTTCCTATGATATATACGTCTGTGTGTGTGTGTGTGTGTGTGTGTGTATTAAATACTTAGGGATGACTGAAAAACAAAAACCTGGACCCAATATGCTCCAAGGAATTGCACACCAAACTTTTGTTAGTTATTCTGAACAAATCTTTTTATTCCCTAAGCATTCTCTATATCTTAAGTAGAAAGTAACATATTGAGGCCTTTCCCATATGTAAATGAACCACAGTGTCTGACACATGGAAGCCACTTAACAAAGGTTCTTTCCTCTACCCTCTTCCCTCAAAAAAAGGTGGGCGGATTCTTAAAGCAGCCAGAGGCCACTGGTGTATAGGATGCTTCCCCTACTCTCCAACTTTTTTCTTGTAGTTATTTCGGGGCTTTGTCCCATGGAGAGATGCCTCCAGTGGGAGAGCGGTCTGAGCGAGTCCCTTTGTGTAACTGGGCAGAGCTAACACCTGAGCTGTTGAAGATCCTGCATTCTCGGGTAAGGGCTACACTGCAGCATCCAGGGGGATGCGGGATGATGCTCAGGCTGGGTTCTCCTGTCAGCTGACCACTTAGCACCACCTTGAAACTCAACAAACCACGGACTGAAAGTAAATCTTCCCTTGGGGAAATAGGAACAGTCTTGAAATAGGCTTTAAGTCGAGTTGTCAGTGGGGTCATCCTAGATTCCCCTGAAGCTGGCAGAATGTCCGGGGGCTCAATGCAATGCCAATCCCTTCTCTCCAGAAAAGCACAGGTCCCTAGTTCCTCGACAGTGTCTCCCTTACTAATCAAGACCATAATATGATGCCAGTCACGGTTGGGGGAGGGGCATATTGTAACTCCCCCAGCTGTCCCAGGTGCAGACATAGCCAAGTTTTAGGAAAAGCCCTGACTCTCTTCACAGCCGCATCATCCTGTGAGCAGCCTAGTGAATAGAGGAAGAGGCTCTGGCTTGAGAAAGTTCGTGGTTTGGCCAGTTCCTAGGAAACATGGATTAGAACCACCATCCCTTGCTTTAGGATGCAGGACAGAGTGGTTTGGGGTGATTCAGGACTGACCTGGCTACTACCTTGGTCCCAGAGGCTTAGCATTTCACTAGATCAGAGGTCATGAAAGATGATGGAGTGCTTCACCTGTGGCCTGTTGTATTATTGGCCAAGAACCAGCCATTCATTCTCTCCCTCCTTTTAACCACCAACTACCTCGTGCGGTGAACATGGCCAGGCTCTAAAGTAGACTCAGGTAACAGTGGGAATTCCCTATCATTCCTGAGGAAGCATGAGGGATGCATTTGAGGTCTGGTGCTAAGAACTCAGTGCAGTCTGGAAATTAGAAACCTAATGTCTTATTTACCACTAATTAGTGGTCTCAGCAAAGTCCTCTGCCCTTGGTTTTGTTTTCAGGCTGTCCTGTCATATAAGGACATCTTAGTACTAAAACAGCAGATGATAAAAATATCAGAAAAAAATTAAAATGTAGTATAAATGTATGTCTTTCCCATAATTCTGACATCTGAAGTTAAAAAAATCATTAAATTATATCTCACCATGCTCTCCACTAGGCTTTGCAAAGAGAACTGTTAAACAGAGTCATCTTTTACTGCCCCTTGCTGTGTGCTGGGAGAATAGGTCTGGGCTGGGGACGTGTTTCTCAGAGCCTTCTCTCACCCTCTTCCTCATCCTCTGTGTTTGTCTATCCCCTGCCCTGCAGGTTGGTGGCAGACTGATCATCCATGCAAATGAGCTGGCCCAGATGTGGAAGGTGCTGAATCTCCCAACAGATCTTTTTAATGGCGTGATGAATGTGGGTCGCTTCACCGAGGAGATCGAGTGGCTGAAGTTCTTAGCCCTTGCTTGTAGCTCTCTTGGAGTTGTGAGTTAGCTTTATTTTTTGTTGCCTAAGGGAAAATCTCTCTCTGGGCCTGAACGGGCAGCACATCTACACACACGGTCAGCCCTCCAGGGCTGATGACCAGCGTGCCTCTTCTTGTCTTCTCTACCTCTCTGAATCAAGGTCATTTCGGGGCCCAACAACCAAAAGTTGGGAGGAGAGAGAGGGAAAAACTACCATCAGGCTCTGGGGAGGGTGCACTAAAGTGTGGCTTTTGGATTATTTATGAATTTCAATCATTGCCCTCAGATTTATTTTCACTACACTCCACTCCCTCCATTCATATTCTTAGAGATAACCAAGAGCTGGCTATAGAATAAGATTTCCAGACACCTAAAAGATATACCACTAGACACTTTTTAAAAGGAGTACAGACCTATAGAAAAATACTATTTGATAAACATAATTGGATGCAAAAATCAGAGATAAGAAAGCAAGAAAGGAGAGATGAGGCTATTTCTAGACTTATGACATCACCATGGATGCAGGATGTTCATACAAATTTATACCTTTTCCAAATTTGACTTGTTTGAAATTAGAAAAGCCGTTTTCTTGTTTTAAAGAAAAAGATACTGAAAACAGTTTATATGTATATATATTTAAAGCTTAGGTATCATGTGTGGACTCACTCTTGTTAAACACATAATAACTTAAATGAAAATGAATCAAAAGCATGTTTTTTTTAAAAAAATGCCTAAACTATATAAAAGTTTAAAAATTACTGAGAACATTATTGCCTCTGCCAAAACCAAATGGTATGAAAAGGTGGTTTAAATCATTCCACATATCTAAACACAATCTTGTTCTTTCTTCTCAAATATGCTTGGAATGCATAGTCGACATTTTTGTTTCTGAGAAAATTTAATGGAAATATTGTAGTCCAACTTTTCCTATGGGTTTCCCCTACAGCCTTCACTGTAATCATTTCTTTAGAGAGAAGGGAAGGAAAGGCCATTGGTGGTTGTTCTTTTTTTTCTTTATTGTCCTTTGTAGCATTTATATAACGAATAAATAACTATCCTCCAAAGAGAAGAGGAAAATGCAGCAGGGACAGTGATTTGTCAATCAGGACTCAGGATTGGGGGAATCACAAAAGGGAAAAATTTAAAAATGACACATTTCATTAAATTCTCACAGGGTTACAAATTTAATCATACCACATTCAGAGATGTTTTTTGGGGGGAATGTATCTTTTAAATTTTATCTGTAGTTAATTCTGATCTTCTTGAACCACCCCACCCACAAAGGGTAGAGTAAGAAAATAAGTTGGATCCTATCCAGGAATTTCAGTCTGATGCAGTAACTGAAATAGCCTGAAGGTAAATCTCCCAGTCTTTCAGGTTCTTCCTCCCCACAGTCTCTTCTCCAAGATGGCAGCTGAATGGATAGGGAAAGTGGTGACTCTAGGATTTCAGAGCAGCCAAGTGAAGGGCCTCCCACATCCCTTGGTCCTCTATGGCACCTCTGGTCTCCATGGCGATGCCCCGTCTGTCTGGTCTCTAGCTGCTTGCAACTGAAGTCTTTGGTCTCGTCTCTCTCAGATTGGTCAAAGCGCTATGAAGCTCCCCCAACCCCCATTTCAGTTCTCACTGGTGTTGAGGCCTCCTTGAGTCTCTGCCAGCTTGTCCTCACCTGCTCCTGGCTTTGGTGGTCTACTTCACTCACCGCTTTGTGAGATGTCTGAGTCCTTCCCTTGTCCCTATATCTCGTAGTAACCGAGAGTGACTTTGGAAATCCAAATTCCAACCCTCTGCTTAGCCAGCGTGCAGCTGTGAGGTTTCCTCTGATATGCCTTCCTCTCAAACTGGGGAGGGGAAACTACAAGGTGAATTGTATCTTTCTACTTCCCTTAAAACAAGAAGGTTGGATTAAATGTTCCATGAGTTTCTTTCACCTCTAGCATTCTATGATTCTATTCCTGCTTCTCTCCTTCAATACCCTCAAGCCTACCTCTGGATAACAGTGAGTTAGTCCAATTCTGACAGCTGATGAGATATCTGACTTTGCCCCTCATCATCCCTATGTAAAAGAACATCTAGAAGTAAAGTTAGCCTGGAAGTCGAGTCTATTAATAAAGGGTGCTCTATGAATCCAGGAACCAATACCCTTATACTCATTTGTATCATGTTGGACTGTTTCTGGGATCTTAAAAATGGAGTTGATCAGTCTATGGTCTGAATGTTCATGTCCCCCCAAGATTCATATGTTGAAATCTTGACTTCCTAGGTGATAACACTAAAAGTGGGGCCTTTGGGAGGTGATTAGTTATGAGGGTGGAGCCCTCATGAAGGGGATTAGTATCTTTATAAAAGAGGCTGGACAGAGCCTGTTTGCCCTTTCCACCATGTGAGGACACATAGAAGACACCATCCACATAGAAAGTGAGGAACAGACCCTCACCAGACACTAAATCTGCTGGCACCTTTATCTTGGACTTCCAAGCCTCCAGAAC